ACCTCACTGTCAGAATTCTGGACAGACATTTGGCAGGAAGGAATCCGTTTATGAATTTCTCATCAAGACCCACTGAGCTAAAATACATATCTGCTACCTCTCCGATTGTGGATCAACCCTAGGGATGCTTCATTGTAGTTTGATGCACTCATTCAGTTACCTGGGTGAGAATGGGTAGGAAGTTTCCATGAGAATTACACACTCAGGTAACAAGCATTTATTGCAAGAGCCACAAGTATATGTGACAGAGATGTACCTAACTTCAAGGCAGTGCTGTCAGCAAGATATAAGGTATGGACTACTTTCTCTTTTAACAATAAAAGGACCGGTTATTGTCTGCCTTTAAATAGTTATCATTTAAAGTTGACTTTTTTTCCAAATTCTGTGGACACCCATTTTTTTTCTCCTAAACAATTTTAATAAGAAGAAATGGGTAAAGATACTTTTTGGTCCTGTATGCCAAACATCAAAGTGGTCCAGCAAGAAAAGGATCCCATGGAGTCTTGCTTTTAATAGATGATATTGCCAGAATATTATAGTTATCCATATCCCCCACTCTTTTTTCCTTTCCTATTAATGTCACTAGAATTCCACTTCCTATACGCCTGCCGTAAAATTCATTTTCCCAATTGAAAATTCACGCAAACCAAGAAGCAAACTTGGCAACAGAGTATGTCCCCCTCACTGTACAGATTGCTTTGTAAACCAGAGCTAGCAGAAAGGAGCGGGTCCAAGGTTAATGAGACATTCATTATGGAGAGAGAACAGTGGACGCCATCGGTACACCGTGCCTATATGGAAGGAGAGGCTATTGTTACAGGATGTTTGCAGTGCCGATATTGTAAACCACATGACAGATGGGTCAAGTGCTGATTACGGTATTCTAACATTTGGAATAGCAAGTAACATATTTGATAAGCTGGCAAGTTTTTATATATGATTCAACCCACAATATAAAAGCCACGAGAATTCCAAATTGAAAATAATTAAATGAGCTGGAAACAATCAGATACCACACATTTTCCCCCAAAATGACAGATTTTGACATGTTGAAATTCCACAAAGGGAGCAAGAATATTTCCCAGCTAACTTGAACTAATAACGGCCCTTCGTCTGCTTTGGCAAAGCAATTAATTCCAGCCTTCTCACAATGTGGAGGTAACAAATAAACATTTGGAGGCACCTTAGACTTTAGATCTCTCCCATGCCTGCAAGGGACACCGAGAAGACATGAATACTTGGAATTTATAGGTGAGGAAACTAAACTAAGTAGCAGGTGCAAGGTTACCTGGAAAGCCGGTAGGTGGCCTATGGGGGTTGAGAAACCAAATCTTCCAACTATTCAGACATCATGTCCTGTTACCTGGTCACCTGAAGGGAAGAAGCCGCTATTGGTACATAAGCGCTCTTCATGGTACAAAAGCATCTCTTCTTTGGGTCAATGATGTTGCYGTCATCATTCATACACACCCATCTAGATGAAGCATCCAGTATTTGCTGTGGGTGTCTCAGTAGGGGTGATACCAGAGACGCTGGTAAGAGTCTGTCAAATAATGTCACGCCTCTGTCACACGTTCAAGTAATGCCGAGAAAGTATCAGCTCTCCATTTGTGTTTGATCATTTGTTGGGTTGTTCTTTTCAGAGTTTGTCACCCTTTGTCAAAGTCACTTTGTCTCTTTTACTTTTTTTTCTTTTTTTTTTTTTTTTTTACCGCCTCTCTTCACCTACCTGAGCAGGTCCCCCGCCACCTCCTGGGCCTCCTCCTCCTCCACCCACCCAAACGCAGACCAGCATGTTATATCAGAGGCTCAAAGGCATGCCTAGGCCAACATCAAGTACTGTAAACTTCTATTGTTCCTGTACTCAGCAGCTTTCTAGCTTAGTTGGCTTTTCTGTTCACTTTCCCTTCTTGAAATTTTGTTTCAGTTTGGAATACTAAGCTGAGGCTTGGGCTCTCGAGTTTAATGCTGTAGGTTTTGAGATACTCAAAAGAGAGCATTTATTTCCAAATGTCCACATTTTTTTTTTGTCTAGCTCTGTCTGACATATGCAACATTTTCAAATCTCAATGTCAGCACAAAATAACATTGTTGTTGCATAACATTTTGCATGACAATTTTTTTATATGTTATGAGCTTCAATTCTGTTGTATGAAATGTTTCCTAAGTATACTGTATTTTTAGTTCTCTTTTGTCAGTGCTCCAGCTAGTGCAAGATTGGGGGACAGGAATATTGCAGTACATTTCAAGACAGCAGAAGTGATGCAAAAAAAAAAATCATTTCTAAGCACAAACTTTTCCTTGACCTCCGGGTGGGGGTGGGGGGGAGCGCTGAAGGATTTTACACAATATTTTCTTTAAAGACAACATCTCAGAGAAATCATGTCTTTTTTTTCCCCTCCTTGCCATTTAGCTAGTAAATCAGCTATGCAAATGAACAGGAAAATAGTACTATGTCTCGCTCAAATGGCTTGATCTACAGATAATGGAACCATAATTAATTGATGGTCAACGAAAGTCTGGCTAAATGGGTGAATTGGCAGATCAAGTGTTCTAGATTAAAAAGATTCTTAACCAGCTCACTTGAATGGTTGCATGTTCAAGTAAAATTGAAAAAGGTTTTATTAAACATACTGTCTGTATATATATACATCAGGCATACACATATCTGGTACATGTGCACACACTCTTAGAAAGCCTGTGTGCACATGCACACTTTATGTGTATCTATGGATTTCTATATTGTAGTCAATCTAAAAGTACTGCATATTAAAACAAATCTTCAGGTGGTCCTATCTTAAGCATCTTGGATTTCTCCAAACATAAAAAATCATTCACGCTTTTTAAATTTATTTTTTCATTTCTGCATTGTATGTTAGATACAGCAAGAATCCCCTTAGATTTGGTGAGTATTCCATCCAAAAGGAAAATGCTCTCTGTTTTTAAAGTGAGAGATCTCAAAGATGTGTCCCAGTGGGATTTCCTGCAGATTTGTATTAATGTGCAGGCTTGTCTGGTTTCTAAAAAATGTATGTAAGTGTGTGATGTATGTATGTGGGTGTATGTGTCAAATGGGTAATAAGTATAGGATGAGGAATTTGCAAATTGATGTGTAAATGTGAATACCAACTAATAAAAAATAGTAGCCTATGCATATTTACTATCAAAATGCAAATACCTCACTCTACACATATTACTCAAACATATATACGCAGTATGTTTGTAGAAATGCCTGAAAGCCTATTAATGAAATTATGATAGTCTACTTATAAAATTACAAACAGATCAGGGGCCCCAAAAGCACCAGTCAATCTTTCTCCGAGTATTTCTTGCTCTGGACCAGGCAAGAGCTGTCAACACTCAACTTCCACATCTCCTCACTGGCTGTTGGCCTTTCTCCATCTGACACATGTCTGATGTTTCCCCAGAACTCCCCTCTTCATGCTCCGAACAGATCCAGCCACATTTCCACCTGGGYGTGGCAGAGACAATGGAGATTCCAGAGCCCTGAAAGCCCTTGTCATGCCAGCCACCAGGCCTGGTTGGACAGTCTTACCCGATCCTCTTCTCCAGTCTTGGCCCCCAGGGACTCCAACGTTCTTTTTGCATTCTTTTCACCAAATTTATTTTTCATTAGGAAATCCTAACTTACTAATGATATGATAAGAAATACACAAAAGGAAGTTATGAGGCCTTTTACTATAAATTAGCCATCTAGAATTTTGTTTAATCTCCAACCCCTTCCCCCCAAAAAAGAACCTTTTTATGAAGTTTTTTGTTTGTTTTGTTTTGTTTTGTTTTGTTTTGCAGTACTGGGATTGAACCCAGGGCTTTGCACAAGCTAGGCAAGTTCTCTGCCACTGAGCCACATCCCCAGCCCTCAGCAGTCCTTTTGTGAACCTATATTCTTCCTATGCAATTCTGCTAAACAGCTTCTTTCCATTGGACCCCATGTGTTCTAAATGACTTTGAGGCTTCAAGGTCTGAAAGGGACTCAGCCGGAAACGAAAATTTCCCTGCAAGTTCAGTCTCACTGGCTAAGAGAAWCCCTTGTTGTTTCAAATATGATTCTTTTCTCCAATAAAAATATGGATAATTTTTTGGCAGTATCATGGCCTTGCCAAACATTGCCAAGCACAGCTCTCTGAAGGCTGCAATGGAAAGCCAGGGATGGTTCAGTTTCTTCCTGGGCTAGATGTGATGCACAGAAGAGAAACTAAAACAAAACAAAAGAAAAGAAACCAAAAAACGAAGACATTGTTGCAATCTAATGGATAAATCTTCAATTAGAGCAACCAATGGCACAAACTACTACCACTTTATGTAATAATCTATCTCCAAAATCCTTTTTGAGAATTATCTTCTGCCTTCTCCATAATAGCCTGGAAATGTCTATTTTTTTTGTTTTGTTTTGTTTTATTTTTTGTTTTGGGTTTTTTTTTCTTTTCTTTTCAATCTCCTCCCTAGACAACTTGAAGCACACGGAACTTTAAATCTGCTTTTTCAAAATGAATATCCCAATACCAACATACATACCTAGAATGAAAAAACTATGCTGTAKTATTAAATGCTGAATGACCATTCTAGAAAATACACATAGCAGCCATCAAGATTAAGCTTCTGTTACATCTCCCCACCTCAGGTAGCCTGAACACAGACTAGAGAATGACATAGGATAGTGCTTTTATGCTGTCTTTAAAGAACATGTGTACAAAATGTCACTAAATTTGAAATGGGCTGTCATAGACTTAATATAGCTTCCTATGCAAATTTGAAGCTGGAGCACTGCTTTTTCCTAATACCTATTATAACGATGGTGATAATAATAAAAAACGGCTCTATGGTTTGCTCACTACTAATTACATGGCACTTAACATTTGCATGAAACTTTTTTTTAAAAAAGTCRGTAACTATTCAAAATTTCTTATCCACTAGTTCTAATGGCCATGCAACTAGCCTGCCACGTTCGCTGAATTTTAACACTAATTCTTGTACTACAGAAAATGTAGGCCGGTTAATCACTCCTGCCAAAAAGCTCGAAGATACAATACGTCTCGCTGAACTAGTCATTGAAGTCCTTCAACAAAATGAGGAACACCACGCAGAGGTGAGCAGGCTCGGTGGGAAATGTCTCTGAGCTTCCCTTAGCTGTGGTCACAGAGCTGACTCAACCAACCAGGTCCTGAATCAGATGCCTTAACTGCCATTTTCTTTTAACTGGGCTTGCAAAGAGAATCAAAGTGGAAGTTTTGGAAGGAGAAGACTTTGGAAAGTTGCTTAAAGCAAGCACGCAGTGGTTGTGGGTTATACATTTCAACCTTAAGTTTTCAGATGTTTCTAGCAAGAAACTAATGAGGTAAGTTCATTTTAAAGTGAATTATTCAAGCCACATCTGGTTACCATTGTACAGAACACACAAATTCTAGTTTTCTTTCTTTTTAWTATTTATTTATTTATTTATTTTTGGTCTTTTGTGGTTGTTTTTTGTGGCCGCCACTGTTGTTTCAAAGGGTTCTTTGGTGTGTGAATCGAGAGCCATGTTTTTGAATCTATCTCTGTAACTTATTCTTCTTGTACTAGGATCTCTTTTTTATTTATTTTAGATCACCTGGGTTGTTAAACGCAGTGACAGAAGCAAATTATCCTGTGTCGTTCATCTTGTCAGTTTCCTAATACACACCTAGATAAATACAGTTCACTCTTTTATTTTTCAAACCACTATAAATATTATGATTTTGATAATAATGATAAACAGAGATTTCAAGACCCACTAAATCCCAAACCTATATGGACTTAAACAACCCAACCCTCCAAGAAGTGATTTCTACATTTTATGATGATGAACAGTAATAGCAGTACTCATTTAAAATTTGAGCTTGAAAATCATGTCTCTCTTAAAATAGCCTCTTTTAAAATTACACCAATTCTCCTTCTGCATTCAGATTTACAGAAAAGGGGGAGGGGTAAAAGTGTTCCATAAAAGTTATTTCCCACACACCTAAAGGGATCCTTCCCCTGACTAACGGAAAACTGACAGACCAGTTAAGTGATACATAATACACCATAAATCCAACCAGCCCGACTAATGCCTGATTGCATATTTAAATTTCCTCCCTGTTTCTCTACTGTTCTATTCAATCTTGGCTGATCGTGGCAGGGGAAAGAGGTATGTGACTAAACCGAATGAACCGGCCACCTGCTGTCATACTCTGTGCATGCCCTTCTAGTACCATGTCTTCTAATGGGACTTTCCCCCCCTGGTGCTCCTGCTTTCTAACACTGACCCAAGGAATGTAACAGCAACTTCCAGTGGACTGCTTGTGACATGGGTGGCCCTCCACGGCAGGGTAAATGTGGGGTGATTCTCTTGTGTGTGCATGAAGCGATTGGTATACCTACAATGACTGCAGTTACATCCCACACACGCCTCCCACCTGCCTTGATTCTGTCCTTAGCCTGYGGTAGTTCCCTATGTCCGTCTGTACTTCCCTTTATTACAGCAAATGAGTCCCAAGCTTAGTAACTAGAAGCTCGTCRGAGTGATACTAATCTCCCTCTAGACTGTCTGTATGTGAGTCATATATACAGTATTTATATATAGAGAGAGTGCTGAAGAATCACCATGGCCCCGAAAGTCCCCTCTGAGGATGGGCTATAGTCCCCTTAGGTGGGAATCATTAACTCATACATCACCTAGCAAGGACCCTCAGCTGTGAGTGACATGGGACATCAAATCAACAACCTCCAGCCATGCACACCTGGGCTGACTTCCTGACCCATGAGTCGAGTTAGGATTTGTCTCTATCACACACGATGGTCTTTTTAGATGGGGGGCATTCAGGGTTCCAGCAATGGTGGTAAGTGTTTTCTTTCTGGGTATCTTCAAAATCATCTCCAGAAGCATGGGGGGGGGGCTCCCACCTGCCTTCTCCAGATTTGAGGGGTCCAGGCTTTATCCATACATTTGTGAGACAAGGATCCAAGGAGGACAGTCTGTCTCAGTCCCCGCTGTGCTTTTAAGTGAATAACAGAAGAAAAACAATAGATACACTTGATTAACGATCAAGTTATTATCTGAGGCTACTACTGGCTAAGAAATGATGTTGAGTTTTTCTACATCTCTCAAAAGGGCCACCCAGGGAAAGTTTATATTCTAAGAAAGGCCTTTTTCACATTTCTAAAAAGGGCTTTATCACTAACTGCTAAACATTATCCCACCTAGCCTCTCTAATCATCAACACAAAATATTTTAACTTTGTATATTTAAGCCATTTAGGGCCAGCACCATGGCACTTGTAATCCCAGTGGGTCAGGAGGCTGAGGCAGGAGGATCACGAGTTCAAAGCCAGCCTCAGCAACTTAGTGAGGCCCTCAGCAAGTTAGCCAGATCCTCTCTCTAAATAAAATATTAAAAAGGGCTGGGRATGTGGCTCAGGTGGTTAACCACCTCTGGGTTCAATCCCTGGTACCCAAAAAAATTAAATAAATAAATAAATAAAAGTCATTCAGGAATACAAGCTCAAATACACACAATAAATTTGAATAAACTCAAATAAATTCGATTCTGTTTTTATTAGTACCTTTAGAAGTTAGTGAAGAGAACTTTAACACCCTTTGGATTTCCAGAGATCAAATTTTCTTTTAGATCAATGTATAGGATTATTTCCCAAATTAGTCATTTCTCCCCATCACAGAATCCTATTTATGACTCAGTCAGAGCTTCCTATGGAGCATCTTCTATCTGCTGAGGCAAGTACCTGGTGCTTTGYGAGGGGCAGAAGGGAGCCTTGCCCTTCAAGGGAGAGAATGCAGGGTAGCAAGAACCCAGGCTCTGTGCCTGAGAAGCTGTGCTGTGAATTCCTGCTGTGCCTCCTCCTTGCTTTGTGACCTTGACCTAGTTACTCAACCTCTCTTATCCTATAAATTGGAGATAAGGTGGTCCTTGTTAGGAGGCTACTTTAAGCAAAGGATCTGACCTTGTGCCTGACACACAGCAAGTAAAAGCTTGGCTATTGTCGTTTTAAATATATGATTGTCCGATCATGCCAAGGACAAAACCTATATGGAAAGTGCCAGATGAGTGAGAACAGACAGAAAGTGTTGAAAGGAGAGGGAGTCCTTTCATGGTGGAGTGGTCCTGAAAGCCCCCCCCACACACACACACACCTATTTATTCTCAATGTCCCCTTATTGATTGCCATCACCTAAGAGGCTTGAGGAAATTCAGATTCCCAGATCTCGCCCCAGCTCCATTAACTGGCCTATCCTAGGGAGCATCAGTCACTTTTCAAAGCTGCTCAAGTGATTCYAGCACACAGCCCAGGTCGAAAGTGCCAAGGTGCAGCAGAAAGGTAGAATCTTCCCTGGCACACCTCAGATAGGGTTTTTCTTCCAAAAAGAATGATTTTTTTTTCTCGTGCCCAGTACTCACTACCATTTTCTCTGAGTGCTCAGTAAACCCCTTAAAAAAATCATTCCCCTTAAAAAAATCATTAAGTCCTAAGCATGGGTCTTGACCATGAAGCCATGCTGCTGGGCAGTACTACACGAATGAAATTAACCTGCCCCCATCCAAAAACAAATAAAAATTAACAATCTTTAAAGCCATATTTAATTCCAAGATAAAGCAATTAAATGTCCCAAGAGAAAAAAAAAATTGCCTTGGCTAAGAACACATCCTATACTGTGCATACATGCCATTTAGGGTAACAATTGTCACATTTCTCTCATTCTTCCAGTTAAATTCTGTTCAAAGAGCCTAATGCACATATGAATTATGCCTTCACATATTGTTGCTTTCTCTTCCTGATCTCTCTCTATGTATACGTATGTATATGTATATATGTATTGTGGTACACAGAGGGGTACATATATACATGTTAGTTTGTGTGCAAAATAAAGTGTGTTCAGTGTGGTGAACTGTACCCCTAAAGCACACAGCTTTGTCTTTGAATAGGGAAAGGCACTGGGTAAGTATTTAGAAGCCAATATGTGACTCTGAATATCTTTGGAAGAGGTTTATTGAGACTTCAAATACCCATAAACATTGCAAATTAGCTCCCCACAAACTCTGAAGACTTGCTCATGTACAAAAATAGCATTCACCTGTAGGAAAAGGCACGAAATAAATAAATATGTATCATCCAATTTTTGAAGGCGTCCCTCAAACCAGTCACATACACTTTGTTCATTGAATTGATATTACACTTAGGCTTTTTGGTTATTATTGCCCTTGAGAGGATCTTTATCTCTTACTTGAGAGTCAAATTGGATGATAGGGTTTTTAAAAGAAKTAATTACCTTACAGAAATAGCTCTTGATTTTCACTTCTTCTGCAAGTCCCACATCTAAATTCTCTTGGTTCACTCAAATTTTAAATTCCCCCACCAACCTCCATAATGATGACCCATACCACAGTACTCACTGTTCTTTTTAAGGTTGCCAATCTAAATGATTATTATTTCAAGGACTGTAGACACTCTCTTGGTATTATATTAAATTACAACAAGAGATTACATTCATTATAGGTGGTAAAAGTGGCGTTTCTGATGGTCTCTGGTTTGTAACTTTTAAATAAAAGCTGGTAAAAACCAAATATGAGATTGGGTTAAGAAATTTTTAATTTCAGACATTTATGGTTTGTTTTTCTTTTGGTTTTGAGGGGTTTTTTTCTTGACATTGTGTCTGGAAAAGCAACGGGGTCTACCCAGCTTTGCTTGGCTCACCCCGAAGAAGTAGTTGGTCAATAAAAGAAAAAATACTCACCTTTGTGAACTTTACAAATACCCTGGATCAGGTTTGATGAGAGTCGGCCCTCCATATAGGGTTAAGGGTGGGGATGGGAGTCCAGCAAGTTCCAGTATTTAGAGTCTCTGCCTAAGAGGCTGAAGGCTGGGAAAGCTCGGGGGGTGGGCAGGGGATTTCTTTCTCTGCTGGATTTAGTCAGTAATTAGAGAAGCAACCCCAGACTCCAGGTTTCTCACCCCAGATGGTCAAATTACAATAAAACCTCATCAGTTCAGACCCAAATGCTTGGAATCTGTGACAATACTCTTGCAGATGTGGCTTTTTAAATTTCTCCTAAGTGAAATTTTTGGCATGATCTCAAACTTGCTCTTGAAATTCTAACTGCTCTTCTTACTAGTTAGAGACTTTCCATAGTTTTTCTATCCCTATTTAATTTCTATGAAATTAAATCCCCCACTTTTAAAATTTTAATTTATATGTTAACATCCATAATTATTAGAAGAATTTTTTTTAAGTACACATTTGTGATACATGGGTATGATAACCCATGTAGACTTTATGAATACCATTTACTTTGGTGCCCAATTACAAACTATGTTCAAAAGCTGTTAAATGATATCTCTGTTAAAAAAGCCAACCCTTTAGGCTAAATTTTGGTGACAGACCAGCATTTCTCTTTGCCATAACTCTGAATCCGTGAGGTTTTACTGTACATTAAAAATGGAAACAGCAGGTGTCTATTTCCAGTCAAGCCAACCTTGCAGAATGGTCCATGACTTGATTTTTTCCATTTAATTTGCAAACCAGCCACATGTTGATAAAGGAGAAGTAAGTAAAGTAAAATCTCACAAAAGAAGAGAGGTGGACCTCTGTTCTGCCTCCTAGTGGCTGATAGATTATCCCCTCCAATGACTACTAGATCACAGAAGAGCTTGGCCATTGAACAAACCCTTCCATTTATGGAATTATTTCCATGATCATCTTTCATATTTTCAAATCCCTTCCCACCTTTTTTTTGGGAGGGGGGGAGGGGCGTGTGAATGCTCCGGAAAGTGTTTCCAGTGTAAATACTTTACAGCATTGAGTGGGGAGGTGGGGGGCTAGTGGGGCTAGCAATTTGTTTTTCTGCTCTCTTTGAAATCAGCAAAACAGGGCCTGTTGACACCGCCACACATTCTGCATGCTCTTTGCCAGAAATGATTAGCCAACATGCATGCATGCCTTTGAATTGCATTCACATCTGGCCAAGTCTGATGTGAATGATTGCCCTAAGACCCTGCACAATGTTTTCCAAGGGCCCATGTGCATGAAAATGAGTTACTTCACTGATATTTTTTGGTTTTCAATGTACATACATGTCCAACCCCCAGAGAAGTGAAGTCCTGATTTTACTCAGTGTTTCCTAGCTTAAGCCTGATCTTTCCTCCAGACCGGATGCAAAACCAAATACCTCCCTGCTGAAAGAGGACAATTGCAGTAATGGTTGCCTTGGACTTAGCCTGAAATAGAAGTAACATCCCCAACGTGTAGGGAAACACGAGTCCCTGAGTTTGTACGAGACCCTAGACAAATGAAGCCCCAGACATGTAGACTAATGTGATCCATAATGACCAATTTTCAAGTTAGACCAGCAGAAAACCCATAAACACAGTGAAGAAACTCCCCTCTTCTAATATTTTAGAGCAAGAACTAGCCACCAACGGTGATTGACAGCATGACTCCAAACCTACTGAGTTATTGTAAATTGAACAGAAGTTCCACGTCTGTCATTTCTACAGCTGCAACCTCTGACCTCCAGGTCAGAGAAGAGGTTCTCGTGGCAGGCCTGGGATCGGGAGGAGCACTGCCTTGGACCCCGAGAGCCCCCATTTGTTTCCAAAATGCTGTTCTCTTTACAATAAAAATGATCACACCCTGCTGGATGCATAGTCAATCTTGAACAGCGAGGGCTACAGATCACATCTTGTATCCGAGAGAGAAACTCACCGCCTCTTGTGTCTATTGTTTTTCTGCCACATTTCAAAGGCCTTCGCGTGGTGGTCGGACTTAATGGTGGAGCACGCAGAGACGTTCCTGTCCCTCTTTGCGGTGGACATGGATGCAGCATTAGAAGTGCAACCCCCAGATACATGGGACAGTTTTCCGCTGTTTCAGCTACTGAACGATTTTCTCCGAACCGACTGTATGTATCATCTTGGACTGTTTGACTTTCTGGAGTAGTGAGCAGACAAACAGATTGCTAAAACATCTTTACCCCAGTGAGACCGTGGGTTGGATGGAGAGCTTCATGGTGCTCTTGTGACCTAAACACACATGCACACACCTCGCAGCTCAGGGACCTTCCCTTTCTTCCAGAAAGTGTCCTGTGACAGAGAGGCCCTCTCTTAACTGCAAAGRAAAAAACCCAAGAGCAGTGTGAGAAGAGGTATCCATGCCTTGTGATTTGTTTGTCCTCCATTAAATGAATTAGCTTACCSTCTTCACACTGGGCCCTGTTTATCAGAAGATGCTTTCTCAGTCAAAAATGATTTCTGGTGCAATAGTAACTGCAAGCAATTACAATGTGCCTTATGGAAATAGTAGCTATAAAATAGATTTTCCTTGCCTAGAGAGGGTGAGGGAGGAAGAGAGGGAGTAAAGAATGTTCTTTCTTCCTGGTAACTGAATGGGAGCTAGGTAAACATAAAAGATGGTGTGCATTAGCCAGGCACGGTGGTGCATGCCTGTAATCCCAGCAGCTCAGGAGGCTGAGGCAGGAGGATCTCGAGTTCAAAACCAGTCTCAGCAAAAGCGAGGTGCTAAGCAACTCAGTGAGACCCTGTCTCTAAATAAAATACAAAATAGGGCTGGGGATGTGGCTCAGTAGTTGAGTGCCCCTGAGTTCAATCCCTGGTAACCTCCCCTCCGCCCCCCAAAAAAGATTGTATGCATTGCTATTGTGTTGTTTCATGAAGGAACATCATTGTTTTTCCTTAAGTGACACAAAATGAGTAAAGTATTTTTGAATGTCATTTCTCTTCCAAAGAGATTGAAGCATGAACTTCTGTTCATGGTTCTTTTTTTTTCTCCTCTTTTTTTTTTTTTTTGGCAGGGGGGTGGGGACTGGCAGGGATCAGTTCCTTAAAAGCAGGGTATTTAATTTAGAATGCCATCATCTCTGTGTGTATGCTGTACTTTGATAAAGCAACTGTGGGTTCTTACCAAGCTTTTGCTTCTCTGTTCTAGATAATTTGTGCAATGGAAAATTCCACAAACACCTGCAAGACCTGTTTGCCCCACTTGTTGTTAGATATGTGGATTTGATGGAGTCCTCAATTGCACAATCCATTCACAGGGGCTTTGAGCGGGAGTCATGGGAACCAGTCAAGTAAGGAAACCTCTTTTGATACCATCGGAGTTTGGGTGCAAATTGCTGGAGAGTCATCCAGAAATGGATTGATGGTGTTACATGACATTTTCATTGTTAGCCTGGATAGAAAGCAAGCACTCTATTTATTTCGTACCATGGTTCTCTTACCTTTCTTGCCCAAATGGGGTGGGAGGAAGAGGTTGAGAAATGTTTTATGAAGTGAAACCTTTGTTTTATTGCACAAAGTTTGATAAGGATGAAGTGATATAAACCTGGCGGTGATATTTGTACTGTGTATCTTCCTCAAATTGTGTTACCCCAAACAATTAGCGTTTCCCACAGTGTGTTCCATAGGGTTCTCAGAGGGTTAGCAAATTTTTTCTATAAAAGGCCAGATGACTAATCCTGTAATTCCAGTGGGTGGGGAGGCTGAGGCGGGAGGATCTCGAGTTCAAAGTTAGCCTCAGCAATTTAGTGAGGCCCTGAGCAACTCAGTAAGAGCCTGTCTCTAAATGAAATATTACAAAGGGCWGGAGATGTGGCTCAGTGACTAAGCACCCCTGGGTTCAGTCCCTGGTACCAAAACAAACAAACAAAAAATGGCCAGATAGTAAACATTTAGGCTTCTTGATTCACATGATCTGCATCACAACTACTCAAGTTTGCTATTGTATCATGAAAATACTTATAGATGACTGTGGCTATGTTCCACTAAACTTTATATACCAAACAGGGCATAGTTTGCTATTCTTGGGTTGGGCCCTTGAGACACACCTCAAAAAAGAACTCTACAGCCAGATGACTTCAGGAAACACTACCTACCCAACTCGTCCACCCATACCCTTATCCTGAACAGCCACAAAGCGGGCTAGTTTGCCAACTCTGAGATTCTAGTTACACAGAATCTTGCTCACCTCTGATTAACCCAGACCTGACCACAGTCTGCATTTTAAAATGGATTTTTCTATCCTGCAGGAAAAAATCACAGGACATCCTGTGGGTTGAGTTTGTTCATGTTCACCACTGTCTAGCACATCGTAGGTCCCATTTGACTGTGTTTGGTAGAGTCTGTGTCACCTCCATTCCCCAGCCAAGAAGAGGGCTGTGCCCCAGGATGCCAGAGGCTCAGCCCCAGCCTTCCCTGTCTGTAAATAGAGATCCCTGTGTGGAGAGTTTGTGGTGTGGTTTGCAAAAGTCTAGTGAAGTCTGGTTCGGGSTTTTCCCTATCAAATTTTAGGTTTTGTTTTTGTTTCCTTTTACATCTTTGGGGCATAGCAATCCATATAGAACAAAGTGGGACTGGACTGTGTCCTAGTGACCTACAGTAAGTCCAGATAAATATTCAAGAAGCTTGTCCTCAATATGGAATCTTTGACCTGTTTTTAAGCAATTTCCTAAATTAAGATTCTCCCTCTAATATTCCACTGTATATGACTGACTGAGCTTTCTCTGAGCCACAAGGAATGATTTCTAGCTTGCTCTACTGACAGCAAGTTAATAGGCAGTAACTCTTTATTTGCAAATGCCAAGAAATTTAAATTTTAGCTTATCATCCTTAGGTTGATAATGGCCTCTTGACATGGCCCTGTTGCCTTTTTAACTCATGAGGATGAAACTGGATCCCTTGATGGTAAGGCATTAATGAGAGGCTTCTAATTTTTTTCTTTTCTTTTCTTTCTTTCTTCTTTCTTTCTTTCTTTCTTTCTTTCTTTCTTTCTTTCTTTCTTTCTTTCTTTCTTCTTCCTTCCTTCCTTCCTTCCTTCCTTTCTTTCTTTCTTTTTTTTTGTGCCAGAGTTGAGCCCAGGGGTACTTAACCACTGAGACACAACCCCAACCCCCTGCTTCTTTTTTTTTTTTTTTTTTAAGACAAAGTCTCACTAAGTTGCTCAGAGCCTTGCTAAGTTGCTGCAGCTGGCTTTGAACTTGAGATTCTCCTGCCTCGGCCTCCCAAGCCACTAGGATTACAAGCGTGCACCATTGTGCCCAACACTGTTTTTTTTTTTAATCACTCACTATAATCAATACAATTCTGCTTTGGAGAATAGCTTTGAAAATAAAATAAAAAATTTAAATGAGTAATATCCCCATTTTGAAAACAAAATGGTCTTGAAATAGCATGTACTTATTTGGGTTTAAATGTATAAATGCCAACAAACCTTGGAAGAAATGATCAGTACCCTTCACTGTTCCTTAAAAGGTTTAGATTTAGGACCTCATCGTCCAAGGCAAGCACTTGAACAAAACTCTAGTAATTTGTTTTCCCATCTGCAAAATCGATTTTTTAAGCAGTCCCTACCCAGGGTCTGAGAATTGTCGTGGAGCTCTGTGATAATGTCACTGAAGTCATTTTATAATCTGTTAAATTCTTCAAAAGCCAAACATATGACTGCTATTCCTTTGGAAGCATTAAATTTTTTAGTACTATCAGAAGTAAAGATAGAATTCAAATCGTTTTCACAATTGGAAGTCTTAGTCTGGGAATGTTTTATTGGGGATGTTTTTTACTGAGGAAAAGAACTGGAATTGGTAGATTGATGATTTAAAGATCTGAAGCTTCATAAAGGAATCAGAGTTGTGATTTTAATCACCTGGAAATTATGCAGATGCGCGTGTATATTTTAAGGAGTCTTTGCCGTCCAAAACTGTGCTGTTGGCGAGTGAGTGTGATTTCAGTTTGTTCAATTTGTGCTAAAATTGTACTAAACAGTACGTACCTTTCAGAGGATGTGGAGAGATTTCAAAGGACCAACTAAAACACAGACTAAATTAAAATTATTTGAAGCCACACACGTTTTATTAGCTGATTTGTAAACAGAATGAGGAAGGTGTGGGACGGCTTTGTAGAATGGCAGAGGATGAAGGGTAAAAATGATTTTTTTGGAATCCTTTTCATCAAGCTCACCCAAAAAACAAGAAACTGACTTGGGTAAATTTAGATTTGCTCATTCCTTTCAGTTGGGGCCCCACGATCCTCCAATACACACACACATACACACACACACACACACACACACACACACACACCAGCCTTTCTGTCAAACAATTGCTATCCTCAAATAGTTCTTGTTCTCCCACTTTTCAGAAGTCATGGTTACAGGTAAAATGAGAAAGACATTGTAAAAGCTATCTTCGAAATCACCAGTATTCAAAAACATTAAAGAAAAACAGCTCTCTGACCAGAAAATGCTACCAATGTGTTGAGTTTGCTTTAAAAAAAAAAAAAAAAAACAGTGTTAAAAGTATTATTTTTCCTTCCAATTTCCTCATTTCAAAATAGGGCCCTATAAATGAAAAGGGAGATAAAATTATCTGGGCTTCATGCAACCAATGTTATTTGATGGAAAGGGTAAAATGGCTAAGTCCTATGGTCATCTTTCCCCTGAAAATCCAGCGGCTGTCTTTCCATCTCTGGGAGGAGAGAAAAGAGAGACTATATCTATTTTCATTGTGCCATATGCAGTCCTGGCTGGGATCTCTGCACATTGGTGGAAGCTGCCCCCGCAGAGCTTCTAACCACAGCTGAAGGGAGACCTCTCTGGGATGTCCATCAGGATGTGTCACAGGATCACCACCCACAGTTGGGCAGGTGGTTTGCACCCCTCCTAGCAGCCCACCAACAAGCAGGTGTACAGCATTTCCACAGCTCTTTGCTGTTGGCTCATTGCTGATTGGTCATATGGCCTTGAAAGTAGACGAAATCCCAGAAAGCACCTCATCCAAAGTCTGGCCAAGTCTAGCACCTGCCCCAACCCATCCCCAGTGCCTTTTCCTGACATGTGGTCACTCAGTCTCTCCTTGAACACTCCAAGCACAGGAATCCTTGGCTYCATAGTTATAATTTTAGGTTAGGATGGATTCAAATGGTAAATCTAAATGCTGCCTCATGATCTATGCACACAGTAAAGTGTGGGTTCCTCTTTTCTCAAAATGCACATTTTTCCTTTCTGCCTGAGATATGCATATGAAAAATCTAAAACTTAATGTCCATTTCCAGATTGCTAATGATGTCAATATTTTAATCATAAGAAATATCAGACCAGAGACAATTTAGCAACGTGTAGATGGCCTAGTGTCAAATTGACAAGGATCAGATTTGGCATGGGAACTCATGTCACTAGATGACTTTGGGCCACCAAGATCCTCCCTCAGTTGATTTTGCTGAGACTCATGCAGTCCTTTATAAAACAAGCACAGAATAACCAAGCTCTTCCAATGCTCACATTCCTGCAAATGTGCCTCTTCATATCTGTACATTAGATTGTCACTATCTCAGCCTGGTACAGTGGCACACGCCTATAATCCCAGCAGCTTGGGAGGCTGAGGCAGGAGGATCATGAGTTCAAAGCCAGCCTCAGCAATAGTGAGGTCCTCAGCAACTCAGTGAGACCCTRTCTCTAAATAAAATACAAAATAGGGCTGGGGGTGTGGCTCAGTGGTCGAGTGCCCCTGAGTTCAATCTCTAGTATCCGCCCCCCCCCCAAAAAAAAGATTGTCACTATCACTTTAGCAGCTAGAGCAGGGATCTGGGATATAACCTATGCTCAGTGACTCCTCATGACTAATTGGCATACTGATGAAAGAAGTTACACAGGCTGAAGATTGTAAAGATAACAATAGGAAAGTGATGAGAATAGGAAAGAAGAAAAGATACATTCCCCYGATTGCAGAGATTTCAATCTACTTGAGCCTGGGCAACATTCACACAAGAAGAATAACTAAATACTTACCAGTGAACAAATACCATAAGGAAGAATTGCAAGATCATAGATTAGAGGGAGCGAACTGTGAGACCATGAAGATAATGGCTTGGAGATTAAAATTTCAAAAGGRATAGGGGTGTTGGGAAAAGAGCATGAAATAGAAACAGGGTAGGAAGCAGAGTTTGCAAAAGGAACGAGGAATGTTCCGTTTGGCCATCATGATCTTGAAAGGAGGAAACAAGCCTTGGAGATAGGCTTGAAAGGTTCCAAAATCCCATGAAGTGTGGATATTAATTCTGTRGGCATTGCATCCTCAACTGGGGGCTTTATAATCCCCAAGCTGGTGAAAATTGGCATTTTACAGAGCATAGTAAAGTAGGTTAGTCTTTTCATATATTTAGCTTACCTTTTCCTGCCCATTCCCACAAAACTACCTTTTAGTCCCAAGTAGTGATGTTTAATGGACTTTCCCAAAAAATGAGAAGTGAAAGGATAAATTTGTGAGACACCTGTTTCTTTTACATGCAGTACATAAGCAGATAAACAGTATATCTGTGGTATTAAATTCCTATGGATAAGGAAGTTGGAGAGGGTCATGAATGTTAGTCACTATGGACTCTTGAGAAGATATCAAAGGATATCCATGCCCCCAAAGTAGGATTAAACCTAAGAACATTGAGAGAGTTTTGATGCCCAGTGCACCAAGACAAGACAAGATACACCACATAGCCGGGTGCAGTGGCACAGGCCTGTGATCCCAGCGGCTCAGGAGGCTGAGGCAGGAGGATCACAAGTTCAAAGCCAGCCTCAGCAACTTAGTGAGGCCCCAAGCAACTCAGCAAGACCCTGTCTCTAAATAAAACATAAAAAGGGCTGAGGATGTGGTTGAGTGCCCCTGAGTTCAATTCCTGATGCCCCCCCCAAAAAAGATACACTGCATATATTCATGCAAAAAATGGCTCATAAGAGTAGAACATGTTCTGTATCTAGTCTTGCACAGAATAAATTCCAGGAAATAAGGAATGACTCCACCTCTGGTCATCCCCATCAATAGAAATGATTAGACACACACACAGCTATAAACATTCATCCWCGTGAGAGGGTAGATGAGAACTTTTTTAATCCAATGCTTCACAGATGGGAATGAAATGAAAGTTATCCTTTTTCATCAGGGTCCCCAAAATGAATGAATCTGTTTTTTAAAAAAATATTTATTTAGTTGTAGATGAACATACAGTATTTTTATTTATTTCTATGTGGTGCTGAGGATTCAAACCCAGTGCGTCACACATACCAGGCAAGCACTTTACCACTGAGCTACAGCCTCAGCCCCAATGAATCTGATTTTTAACATGTATCCATTTTTAGAACCGCAGTTCACACATCTTGTACTATCCGGTGACATATAAGTTATGATTCTTAACAGAGAAGCATGACTGATAAAGGGCCCTCTTTAAACATAATAATTCATTACAACCACCGACAGCTCCAGGATCCTGATCATGGGGACTGAGTGCAACTAGAACATTCTCCCCTTTCCCATGGATAATAGTGAAATATTATGCTTGCAGTTCACCTCTTTGATTATTAATACGTTCTTTAATACCCAAATGAAATATTAGTAACATCATTGATACACTCTATTATTTTGCTAAGGCAGAAATATCAAGCATGTTATATCATTTTAAAAGTTGACCATTATGATATGTCCCTGAAGGAAATGTCTCTATATGAGGCCAGTGCAGGAGTGTAGCCAAACTGTCATATTTTACAAATATAATAGGCTTTGATTAATATAAGTATTTTTTTTAATTTTCGTGTGCAAAATGAAGCTCACTTCTAATTTGTGTACCCACCATCCGCTAATATGTTTAAATTAAGTTGCTTTTCTGCATACATTTGTATGTTATTCATTCCTAGCTACTTTTAATTTGCTCAGAATTGACATTTTAACTTTCCAGGCTGCCATCTCTAGGATCTCCTAATTCCTTGATCATTATTCAGTGTGTGTATCATTTAATGATCACATTTGCTTATATAGGCTTACACATGTCTCAGTGGAAATTGCTAACGGATTTGTTACATGGCAGTGTTTAAGACTGAGAACCACCAGGGACTGAATTCAAAGGCAAATTCCTGAGTTAAACAGAGACACACGGAGGGAAGAGTTCCATTTTTCTTCCTCTGCTTAGTACTCATATTTAGCTCACCTTCTCTAGGCCATCCCCACAAATCCACCCTTTCTTTCCAAGTAGGGGTGTTTAGTGGGCTTTCCCAAAAAGGAGAAGTATAAAAGATAAATCTGGGAGACACCTGTTCCTCTGACTCAAGGAGAGGATGCCAGGTTGGCAATTTTGCCTTCTAGAGTTTTCGTTCTACAGCCAGGGCTATGTCACCCTTGTGAAAGAGTAACTTGTTTCTGGASGGTGTCAGTCGTCCAAATGATCTACAAGGGTCCAGAATTTCTGACTTAGAAAGAGGCTTGCCCTGCTGAGCAAGCCCCCAGAGGCAGCTCCAGCCCTCCAGGAGTCCTGTTAGTCAAACAGCTTCCCCGGGGCAGAGCTTCGTTGGCAAACCCTGCTCTTCTCCTGCAAGATCCAAAACCGAGAACCTCAATTCCTTTGCCAAAGTGCTGTCAACTCCACTTAAATAGGAAGGCTCCTCTCAGATGCGGAGCTGGGCTGGGCTCTACCGTGCCAGTGACTTTGGCTGGATAGCACACCCTTAAAATGCCACTCCTAGGCATTCAGTGCCAGCTTTTGGAGCAGTCCGTGACATGGACTCTCCAGAGAGAGGCAGTTGATTCAAGTCGAGGGTTTTGTTTTGTTTTATTTTCTCTCTTTACTCATAAAACCACCCATCCCTCTTCCATTACATTAATGATCCATCTTTGTTGAAAAAAAAAATGAGAAAAGATAACATTTTTAATATTTGGAGCATTTTTTTAAACTGGTATTGAACCCAGTGGGGTTTAACCACTAAGCCACATCCCTTGCCCTTTTTATATTATATTTTGAGACAGAGTCTCACTGAGTTCCTTTAGGGCCTTGCTAAGTTGCTGAAGCTGGCTTTGAACTTGCAATCCTCCTACCACAGCCTCCCAAGCCATTGGGATGATAGGCACGTGCCATGGTGTCCAGCAATATTTTCTGCATTTTAAACTGATTTTAACTTTTTATAGAAAAAAAAATGTGTAGCTTGATTAATTTTCACACAGTGAACACATCTATTTAACAATCACTCATATAAAGAAATAAAGCATCCCCAGCCTCCCCGGTAATCCTGGTTCCTTCCCAGACATATCCCACATCCAAGTGCACCTACTATGTATGACATGAAGTCACATTTGAAATCACTTTTGGTCCAAGAATTTGATATGAGTCCTGCATTTGGGATTCTTTTTTTTTTCCCCCTAGGTGTCTATTTCTGTATACAAACATTTCTCCATTGTACTTTATCTTAGTTTGGGGAGGGCAGAAAGTTTGCATTTTAAGTATTCTATAAAATTACTCAGAGCTGATCCTTCTTGATACGATTTCTTCTTCTTTGCCATCAACTCTGTCACCCCGTTGCACATACTTCCCAGCTTTAGAAATAGCAGTTGGAAAGAATTCAACTTCTGCATGTCACCATTTTGTGTATGTTCAAGGGGATGAGCTTTCTATCCTGTCTTGTATCTAATACATGACCCAAAAAGTGTGTCTCTATGGATAATACCTTATAAATGAGACTAAGAAAGTTAATGTGCTCCATTGTTTCTGTTTTAAATTTTTCATTTATTTTTTTGATGGACACCTACTATTTATACATACATGTGAGGTAGGAAGTGATATTTTGATTCATGTGCACCTTGGGTATCCATGAACTGGGTGGTTAGCATATCAATCCTTATAGATTTTGTTTCCTGTGATGAGTACATTCAAATTCCTCTCCTCTAATTATTTTGAGATATTAAACACATTCTTATTAGTTATACTCCCCCTACATGAACACCAGAGCTTATTCCTCCTAGCAGACTCTAAACACGACACCTGTCAATCAACCTCTCCCCTACCCCCTCCACCTGTTCCTCCGCCTTTGCTGTCCATTCTACCTAATTCACAGCAGCCCCAGCCTGGTCCGCCCACCATGCCAAGAATTAATTCCATGAACTTCAAGTTCTTAGTATGAGGCAAGTTCTCTTCTGGACTCTTTTGACAATGTATCTGGAAACAGAAGGCCCCTCCCGAAGACATTGAAACAATGTGATCATTGCTCATGGGCCCTCCGAGAGGGTCCGCCCTTCTGAGCCACTCCTTGTTGATTTTTTTCTGTTTGTTTCTCCATTAACGTGCATCATTTCTCTCTGCATCCCGAGCCACATCCCAGCTGCCGTCCGTAAGCTGCTTCCTGAAGTGTGTCGCTTGAGTTCTTACTGTTGTCTTGCTGTGGACTTAGCCGATTTATTTACAACAGTCGTTGTGCTTCTGCCACATCTGCATTGTCACTGTGATGGTATTTTTTCTTTCTGTCTGTTTCTTCCACAGGAGTTTAACCAGTAACCTACCCAATGTGAACCTACCCAATGTGAACCTTCCCAAAGTACCAAATCTACCAGTTAACATCCCTCTAGGCATCCCTCAAATGCCTACTTTTTCGGCACCGTCATGGATGGCTGCTATATATGATGCTGAGTGTGTATTCAGTTCACATTAGATCTAATTTAAATTTAAGTGATCTTGGCATGGATATGTATTGTTTATTTCTATACATCCTATATAACAGAGATGGAGATGGATAATTAGACATATTTTGCTGATCATGCAGAGACAATATTGTTTATTTCTGGCATACATCATGTTTGTAAGACGTTTGCTATATATACAGCACTAACAATTTGTCTTACGCCCACTGAACACTTGAGGACTATGTTTCACTTCCTGAATTCTTTTGCGAAAGGATTTTACCCCCCCTCCCTTTTTTTTCATGCAGGTGACATGACTCTGGGGAGTTAGTCACCCCAAAATAGTCCAGGAAACCTATTGGACAGGCTGGCCAGTCATTTCTGGCCTGATCCCAGTCTTAAAAGGGAAGCACACTTCCCTAGAAGCTGAGTTTTTATTTTTTWAAAAAAATAATAATAATTAGGAGTCTAAGAGACTGTTAGAGCCGCAAAGCATATTTCCGGTGTCAGCAAATGGCAGAATGTAGTAACAGTTTCTGAAGGACTAAATGAAAATTTCTGAATGGATCAAGCCCTAATAATGTCAATACTATGTAAAGATTCATTTCTAGATCAAGTTACAGTAAGGATCTTTGGAGATCTAAGTAGCGAGAAGGTCTCTAAATTTGAAAATGCGAGATTCAGACCAGGCAATATTAAATTTGGGGTAGCCACGTCATCTGTGGTCTGAGATGTAGGGTCATCCTTCATCTCTGCTAATATCAGGGCTGGATGAGGTGAGTTTTCTTGGTGCCTGGATTGCTTCCTCAAGTCCAGAAGTTCATGGGAGGAAGCATTGAGTAGCCATTTCTTCTAGCTGAGGAAAGGAATCCTCTCCCCTTTCTTCCTTAGCAAGAAGATCCAGCACCCCTAAATTCTACCTCAGGGAAATTAAATTAGAACCACGTGCATGATTTAATAAGTGAAATAAGGTTTAGCAATTCTATACCCTCCTTTGATCCTTTTCTTCGACCACAGCTAATTATAGGCCAGATAAGCTTTTTCTTGAAAGAATAAATTGGCACGTTTTCAAAGGAAAGTGTTATTATCAAAGGAATATAAAAAAAATGATCTGAAACTGGCAGTGATGTTTTGAAATCTCGAAATCACGTTCGTCAGGACGGCTGTCAGCTTTTTTTTAATGTTCATAGACTCCAGGTAGAGAACAGGGCATTAAAATGGCTTCTTGCTTGGCTTCTCCAAAGCTACCTCACATTTTTAAAAACCTCTAATTGCTCTCAAGTTCACAATGAAATCATATGTTCAACAAATTAAAGCCTTCCAAAACAAAAAAAAAAAAAAAGGTATTTCTCAGGAAAAAAAATCATCTAAGAAAAACATATCATATTCATGCTAAGATGACTCTATTAAAAGTTAGATTAGGTAGCATCTGTTTAAAATTTAAAAGTAAATATCTTAGAGCTTCTCTTACCTTCTTCTCTGCATGCTCTGTGACACTGTTTTTGAAAAGATATGAATCAAGACATTGTAATAAAGCAGATAATGGTCTCYGTTCAATTAATTAAGGCATGAGTGGGAACACATTTTGGTAACTGCTTAGCAATCAAAATAATCTTGGTGCTATTGCCTTAACATTAGCAGTTTATCTTAAAAATAAAAAGAAAATATTCTTTTCCTCATGTCAAAACTTAATAATAAGCTCTTCAAAGAAAAAAAAAACCTAAGAGAATTTTCTGAAACTCTGAAACCAGATGGGTGTCAAAATGTTGTTGTAATAAATACCAATTATTGCATTCATATGTACTTAATGATTTAAAACATAAACCATGCAGTTCCAAAACGGGGCTTAGACTAGACAAAGTTGGGGTTTCTTTTTTTCCCAGGCCTAGGATGGGACAGAGGGGAAAGGCTGAACTTCCGCAGAGAGACAAAAGCATCTCTTCTGCATGATGCTTATGGCAGTATCTGAGAAGGAGGCGTGGATTCTCTATCACCCACCAGGAAATGCCTGATTCCATATCTTTTCATGATTCCAATTTCCTCCTTTTGCCACCTTTCATTTTAAGGACGTGTTTCCATGTTACCTGCTCCTACGTGTCAGATAACATCTACGTACTGACCTCAGACTGGTCTGTCCTGAAAACATTACCCTGTCGGTCCAGGCCGTAGGCTCCCTCCTGGCATGTTGGGAGTTTGCCCCGTCCCTCCACCCCCCCCACCCCGCAGTAGCTGTGTATGCATTTATGCACTAGCTATATTTCTCTCTGAAGCATTAATTCAATGCAGCTGGCATCTGTCACAATAGAAACACCCACTCTCATCTGTTTCTATAGACGATGTCAGAACAAGTGATAATGCATGGTGTGTTGGGCATTTTATAAATTACCGTGTTAGCATTAGTGGTATGCGAGGAAGAGGGTAGGGGGGGCGGCCACCCCTCAGAGCTCCAAAAGGAATTGTTACCAAAGAGAAAGCCAGCAAAGGGCAAGATGAGAGTGGATCATTTCCTATACACAGGCTTTCCGTGGATGCCCCAGGTAAAAGTCCCTTAGTCATCATTGGACAGAAAGGAATCACCTCCCATTTCCCCATCTGTACAGAGGACTGGGTAAGACAGTATGGCCGAAAAAAGAGCTCAGGTTCTGAGCCCTGCAGCATTGCAAATCTCTCTGGTCCACTCACCTCCCCTGCCCTGACTCCCCTCCTCCTGGGGCTGCCTGTGCAGCAGGCTGGTCTGTGAAAATTGGAATGAGAATCAAACTGAACACGAATTTTGGGTTTGGGGTACCCAGGTGTCCCCCCGTCTTGATCCCCCCCACCCAGTTTCTTTCCAGCTCTTCAAGAGAGAAAGCAGGTCCTCGCTCACCACTTTGTTAGCACTAAAACCGAAAAGTCTTGTGCAATCTCCAAGAAGCCTCCGCTCTGGAGGGCAGCTGGGGAAGTGCATGAAACCCTGAATCTTAATAACTGCATGTTGCCATGTAGTTATTATCCGTGGAAACTGACTTCTCCCCCTGGTGCGTGGCCTTCATCTGAATCATCACATGTGTTAATGTGGTTATTGAAGGAAGGCTGATTTTTACCATACGCCATTCTCCTAGTTGCTATGGAACCAACCCCTTCTTCAGACGTCTCACTGGTCTGGAGTAATTGGCAGAGCAAAGATGACTAGGTCCTGTATGGTAAAACTCAAAAGCTGCGGTGGAGATTGCCCCCACCTCCACCGCCAACACGCGTCGTTTTGTATGTGGAAGCCACTGTTTGCCTAAAGCCTCCTAGCCCACCCCCACCCCCCGTCGGTTGTCTCTGTGTTCATTTCTACAGAGCCTGGGGCTTACTGGGTGACTCTTGTCTTCTAATTCTTGTCCTGCTAGTAATGGATCAGGCACCTCGGAAGATCTATTCTGGAAACTTGATGCCCTTCAGACCTTCATCCGGGACCTGCACTGGCCCGAGGAAGAATTTGGAAAGCATCTGGAACAGCGGCTGAAACTGATGGCAAGTGACATGATTGAGTCCTGTGTCAAAAGGTAAGCACAGGTGGCTGGATAGATCCAGCATGTCTCTTCCACTGTCCACTGGCACCAGAATGGTGTCTTCTCTTTCACTGTGTTTGGGAGTTTAATGGAGACAGTTATTGTTTATAAAAGCCAGCTGGATCGCTAACTACCCGAATCTAGCTTGTATTCACCTGCCACCCATCTGTCCCAAACCCAAAATAACTTGGCTGCCAATTTTCTCATGGTTATCAGCACCATGAAGGAAAGATACACATGTTCTTTTTTTTTTTTTTTTTTTTTTGTATCTGGAATCAAGCCTAATGGGCATTTGACTCGTGAGCCACACTCCCAGACCCCAGCCCATTTTTTAAATTTAAATGTAAATTTTTAATTTTAGAGAGACAGGGCCTCTGTAAGTTGCTGAGGCTGGTTTTGACCTTGCGATCCTCCTGCCTCAGCCTCCTGAGTCTCTAGGATCACAGGCGTGTACCACTGCACCCAGCACCACATTCATTCTTGTTCATCTCTGTATCCCCATTATCTAGCAGTGTCTGGCACACAAAAATATTTTACCTAGTAAGATTTGTTAAATACATGAATGTATGTGGCTAGGTGGAGTGTTGAGAGGAAAGAAAAAGAGATGAACAAGCTGGGTATGATGGTGCACACCTGTAATCCCAGTGGCTTAGGAGGCTGAGGCAGGAAGATCGAAAGTTCAAAGCCAGGCTCAGCAACTTAGGGAGTCCCTAAGCAATACAGTGAGACCCTGTGTCTATATAAAATATAAAAATGGGCTGGGGTGTGGCTCAGTGGTTAGCGCCCCTGGGTTCAATCCCTAGTACCAAAAGAGACAGAGAGAGAGAGAGAGAGAGAAATGAACATACAATTCTAGAGTATCCAGTATATTTGGTACAGGTGATTTTCCAGCAAAGTGAGGCTAGACCCAATCCTGTCAATCATTCTGTATATGTGAAGTAAGCACCTATAGTGTGATAACTATTCATTGTCTCTGCCAGAATCTGATTGGGTATCAGGAAGTGGGCAGGAGACATTAAACATACACTTTACCTTCCCACAAATTGCCCGTTTTGTCACTGTGGCTTGTAGGATTAGGGTAGGACTTGGAACACTGTACTTGCAGTTCCTAAGCCAACTGTTCCAAGAAGGTAAGGGGAAGAGAATGAGGACAACATGCAGCCATTCAACAAAAACTGAGCTCCTCCCGTAGGCCAGACACAGTGCTGAGTCCCCAGCAGGCATGTTGAAAGAAGGACCACCTCCCTTCCCCCATGGAGCATCCATAGCTGAATATCAAGTACAGACRTGAAATCCACTGACTTGACATCCTCATCATCATCACCCTGCTTGCCCCAGGCACAAGCCCCAATTCTTTTTCCAACTTATAACTGTCCCATTATTTTTCCTCATTCAAAAAAAAAAATCCACTACAATACAAGCTGCACAGGCTACTCCAGCTCTCCAGATGTTGTGTAGTTTAGTTGATGGATCAGTTGTGGGTGATAGGAGCAGGGTTTGCCTGAACATGCTCCGAATTCATCATCTTATATTTTGGAAGAAGAAAAGAGGAAAAGAGAAGTAATAGTAATCAAAACAGGAAACCAAAAAGGCCAAAGAACATCATGACCCCAGGTAGGTGGAGAGCCTCTTGGTGGGAATTGGGGAAGAACTGTGTGCCCTGGAGAATCTGGGCAGGTGCTCAATGCTGCTTCTGGAAGCTTATAGTCCTGGTGATCCAGATCCTGGACTTTGCTTTTTTCTTCTCACTTTCAGACCCAAGGACAGGCCTATTTCTCAAACCCACAGTTTCAAATTCCACCATCTCCTACAGAGTCAGTATCCATTTTAACAAAAGCCATACTTTTCTGATGGCTGAACCCATCCACCATTAAAAACATCTTACGGGAAAGTTCTTTAYAGCCAAAAGTCCTCCCCCAATCTGTCCTAGGGACTGAAAAGCATTCGAATTAAGACTTACCAGCTCCTGCTCTAGGTACACACAATTGTGCAAAAAGACATTTATGTCCTCTGTTGAGAAGCCAGTCCTTTATGTCCTTTTCTCAGAGAAAAGAGGAYGATACGAGAATATCAAAGGTAGACAGGACTGTTTTATTCCTTATCACATTACAATCATCTTAAACAGAGGCAGGGCATGGACCTGGTTCCGTCAAATCTCCTCACTCTCCCCAGGACCTAGAAGCATGCTAGGATTGCAGGAGTTAAGTCACCTTTTATTGGCAGAAGTTGGGCCAACGCACCTGTATGGCTCCTGGACTCCTGAATTTCCTTCAATTCAGGCCCCAGACACAGRTGCAAAGCAGCCAAGAGCAAATGCTGGTAGAAATATCATCCCTTGACCTCCAGCTTTAGAGGAAGTCCTGGAGAAGCCCTTAGGTGTTTTAACGCATAACATCTGTGTTAGAAGAACCTAGAACCACCATGTTCCTCTTTGGGACAGAATAAAATAACCCCTGCTATCGGACAGTGGAGTAGGATATTGTTTCACAGATGTAAATATGCAATGCCAAAAAGTCAGGCAGGCACTCTTCAGGTCTGAGCTTCCAAGAAATTGAATGCATCCATCTGACAAGACATTTACAGAGCCTCAGAGCCTAGTCTGTGTCAGGTCTGAGCTGAACACAAAGCCAGCTGGGTTAAGTGAACTCTCCATGCGTGGCTTTTGGGTCCCAGAGAGCCCTCTCAGCCATATTAATTCTACATTCATCTTCCTTTTCTCACAGCCCCACACTCCAAGGGCTATGAACAGTTCTCTTGTGAAAACAGAAGACGATTACTTCATTGGAAGGGAGCGATTTAGCATTTCCATCTCTCAAATTGGGCCGGAACTGGCACACAAGCCTCGGAAGATCAGCACAGGGACCTGTCCAACTCAGTTCCCCATCAGGCCTCCTTTTTCACAAAACTAGAAGAGAATGTATTTTCAGCATAGCTTAAAATGATCATCATGATTAGAAAGCTACTTCAGTGTACTGAGTCTTTAGAAGCCAAAATACGTTTATCTTTAACATGATCATATAATCTATAGGGGTGTTTGGAGGGTTGGGTTGAGGTTTTTTTTTCCCCCTTAAGAACTGGGCTTCCAACCTTAGAAATTATACTTGGCTTCTCTGCCTGCACCCGGGGTTTGATAGCAAACTGGCATCCTTTCCTGAGCTAACTAGCTGTGTGGTCCTCCTAAGCACTGTTAGAAAACTGCCACAGATCCCTCTTAAAGCAGTGCCTCCTTGGTGGCTACGTGAGCTCTGGAACCAGACAGTGAACAATGCCGATAAGGTGCCTTAGATGAAAGGGACTTTCCTAAAGCCACCAATAACCGCTTGCTTTCCTTTAAAGACATGGAACAATGTGACACCGTTCCCAGAAACCTTTTAAAATATAGCTAGGCCTTTTTACAATGCTGATATCAAGAATTAGATCTCACGCCTGTAAATACCAACTAGCCACATCAGATCAGGATTTTCCTGTGAGCAATTAGCACGTTGCTGGTGTCCTAACTGGATGTACACCAGAATCAGGTTACATTAGATGATACAATGCTCCAATTGTATATTGTGTGTATCTTATAAGTGAAGTCGACATAACATTGTATTTTAAATCTATTGGTTTTAATGATAGAAATACATTCTTATTGAAAATAATACACTGACATTGAAAAACAAAAAACACAACAGAAATTTCCTAGTCCCACACCTTCTAATCTCACGCTCCTCCCCAAAGGTAGCCCATCTTTAATGGCTTGATCCATTTCCTTTTTTATGACCCTTTAACAAGCAAAAACTGTTTTGGTTTTTTGGGGGTGGTTTTTTTTTTCAGTCTTTAAAGCAATGCAATAAATTTGCTGGATCCCCCCCCCTTTCAATCTCTTTCAAAAGCAGCAAGAAAGAAAACAATAAATGTCACTTAAGATTTCTCTCCACCGTGAGGTGTTGAAGATTAGAAACTGCTTTTTTGTGTTTTTTTTTTTTTAATGAAGTGATTCAAGGTAGGCCATTGCCAATGTGAGAGATCTTACGTATGCTATAATGCTATAATCGGGTTTTTGTTAATTCATTCGTTCTCCTGCAATTAGGGTTCTCCGTAGCATGTAAACTATAGACAGAAATACGCCGAGCTACAGGTGTTCCGTGGACTGCCGAGAAAGGAAGGGTGTGCGTGGCTGTCTCCATGAATAGACCCTCCTTAGATGGGGAAGTCATTTAAAAGAGAACACATGTGAAGTCATTGTCGCTTGAAACTGATTACAGCCTTCAATTTTCTTTTTTCACTGGCCTCTCAGAAAAAATGTCTCTTCCACCTGCTGCCATCTGAACACTGAATTGGTCTTTTCCTACTTTGTTTTAATAGAACCAGGATTGCATTTGAAGTTAAGCTGCAAAAAACCAGTCGATCAACAGATTTTCGAGTCCCACAGTCAATATGCACCATGTTTAATGTTATGGTTGATGCCAAAGCTCAATCAACAAAACTTTGCAGTATGGAAATGGGCCAAGAGGTAAAAAAAAAAAAAAAAAAAACAGATTTTTTTTTTCTGTCTCCATTGATCATATAGAAGAAAACTTCACAAATTCCTTCCATCCACTCTAATCTGATAGTTTTAGAAATATACTCGGAACATTTGTAGATTAAATCGTGGATGAGTGTTCAGTATCTGTCAAGTAAATTTCCAAGGCATGTGCTGATGAGATTGCCAGTCGCTTGGAAGTGATTCTTGGCTGGAGCCAGGGTGGTTGTAAGGTTTCTTAAAGCTAAATGACGTTTGATGACCTTATTTATTAGGCTGGTATCTCCAAAAGATCTGCGTTTGCCAGCATGCAAGTCATTTTCATGTTCGAAGTGCATGTTAGCACTTGGAACATCTGGACAGCAGGAGAGCTCTTTCTTATATCGAGCAACTCCTCGGGAGTATAACTTTAGCTCTTGCTGCTAATCCAATCCCCAGCCAGCAGGTTCTGAATGTCCAAAACAATTGCAGGCTTTCAATTTTCTATAGATTCGCATGGATTGTGAATCTTCCCTGACCAAAAGTTTTCGTCCTTTGCTAAGTTTCCAACTCCAAAGTGGTATTTAAAATGTAAAGGCGAAGGAAACAGCAACTCAGGCTTGATTAGAGATATCATGATCATTTTTCTCCGATGGCCTTAAGCCAGCTAGATATTCATATACCAATTTAGAATTAATTCAGAAACATTTCTGGCAACTGTGTGTTGTTGCCAATTGGCATAAATTGCTCCTAAATCAGATCTTTCGATACCAGCCTTCCATGCTCAGAATTTTTACTAAATTATATTTGCTCCCTATTTGTTATTTATTTTCTCTTTCGGCACCTTCCATTTTTAAATGTGGGTTGGTGGTATTCTCTTTCTGGCAAGATTTTCTTCAACCTTGTATCCCCCACAAGCGTGCTTCCTTAGCCACCCCCTGCTAACTTCTGCTCCTGTCTGATTCTGAGCCTTTCTCAGGGAGTAGGTTCTAGGTCTCAGAGTCAAATGCAGAGGCCCATAGTTCTCTTTCCCAGCCCTATTTGCTGCATATGAATGATCTCCAGCCGTGGTTCTCAAATTCCGTGGGGCAYCACACTTATCCAGAGAGCTTCTTAAGACTCACATTGTTGGATCCCATCTGGAGCATTTCTGCAAGGGTCTGGGGTGTGACATAAGAATCCCACTCCTGACGCCGGGCCTTGCTGATCCTATAGTTCCAGAGACCACACTTTGACAACCATTGTTTTGGAGGCTCAGCTTCCAAAATTGAGTTCACAAGAAGGACTAAGACACTTAGCTAGTCCCCTGGGGGAAGGCCTGTGTTGGATGTCCAACCACCTGGATTCTTGCCCTGGTTGCTCTGCAAACTGGARTTGGACAAGTCAGTCTGCTACTTTAGGGCTCAGTTTCCTCATCTGTAAAATGATAGCACTATTCTAGTTTTAGCCAGCTTGTTTTTAGCTGCAGAATTTGGTTTTTCAAACCTTATGGAGACAGCCAGCCTATGAAACTAAAAATAGAGCTGCTCTGGATGATGGGGAGAGAGAGGTGGGGAAAGAAAAGGATACCCCAGCTAGTGACTCCTCTCTACCTCTTCACCCCCACATCCCACCTGAGCTTCTCTGGGGGGCCCTCAACACTCTCAGGCTTCACAGAGCCTTGTTTCAAGAAATCTCTAAAATTCATTAAAATTCCTTTGAGCCTGGTGTGGTGGTGCATGCCTTTAATCCCTGCCACTCTGGAGGCTGAGGCAGGAGGATCTCCAGTTCAAAGCCAGCCTCAGCAAAACTAGGCGCAAAGCAATTCAGTGAGACCCTGTTTCTAAATAAAATACAAAATAGGGCTGGGGATGTGGCTCAGGGGTTGAATTCACCTGAGTTCAATCCTCAGTACCAAAAAAAAAAMAAAACTTTCAGTTTATACTTTCCAGAATGTTGTTCCTCCTGAACTTTTTTCCCTTGGAGTTGCTGCTGCTTTTTATTTAATTGAGATATAATCCCCATAAAATTTTCCCTTTTAAAGTATATAATTCAACAGGTTCAGTATATTCACAAAGTTGAACKGCCATCACTATCATCAATTTTAGGAACATTTTCATCATTCCAGAAAGAATCCAAGTACCCATTTAGTCATCACTGTACCCCTTCCCTTCCCAGCCCGAGGTAATCACCAGCCTACTCTGCATAGACGTGCCTATTTCTAAGGATTTTCCTATTCTGGACATTTCATAGGTGTGGCCTTGGGTGCCTGGCTTCTTTCACTTAGCATAAAGTTTGAAAAATTAATTCATGTTGTAGCATGTATTGTTCCTTCCTACTTATGACTCCATCGAGTAGATATACCACATTTGTTTATCTATCCATCAGCCAGTGGACATCTGAGTTGTTTCTACTTTTAGCTATTACAAATAATTCTGCTATGAAGGTTCACGTGCAGTGTTTCTGTGAACCTATGTTTTCAGCTGTCTTGGGTATATATCTAGGAAGAGAATCACTGGATCATAAGGTCAATTTGTGTGTGTGTGTGTGTGTGTGTGTGTGTGTGTGTGTTAGTTACTGGGAATTGAACGCAGGGGCACTCTACCACTGAGTCACATCCCCAGCCCAGAGTCTTGCTGAGTTGCTGAGGCTAACCTCAAACTTATGATCCTCCTGCTTCATCCTCCTGAATTGCTGGGATTTCAGGCATTTGCCACTGTGCCCAGCCTGTTTAACTTTTTAAGGAAGAGCCAAACTGTTTTCTAAAGTGGCTATACCATTTTATATTCTCACAAGCGATGTACATACAAGAAATCCAAATTTTCTACATGATTTTTTTTTTTTGGTACCAGGAATTGAACTCGGGGGCACTCTACCACTGAGCCACCTCCTGAGCCCTATTTTGTATTTTATTTAGAGACAGGGTCTCACTGAATTACTTAGGGCCTTGCTTTTGCTGAGGCTGACTTTGAACTGGCAATCCTCCTGCCTTAGCCTCCCGAGCCACTGGGATTACAGGTGTGTGCCACTGTGCCTGGCTCCACATCTTAGTAAATACAGCCATCTTGCTGTATGTTTCATGGTGTCTCTTGTAGTTTTGACTTTCAGCACCATTTGACATCTTTACACTTGTTTATGGGTCATTTGTTTATTTTCTTTGAAGAAATGACTATTTGTAGTCTTTGCCAAATATTTAAMCTGGGGTTTTTTTTTTAATGTTGAGTGATTGGAGTTCTTTATGTATTTTGGATATTAGACCATTATGTACATGATTTACACTATTTTCTCCCATTCTGTGGATTTTTTTCCACTTTCTTAGTAGCTCCCTTTAAAGTAAAAAGTAAAAAGGGGGAAAGTTTTTTTTAAGTTGAATGAAGTCTTATATATATATATTTCCCTTTGGAGCTTTTTAGGGTGGGCATCTTAGTTGCATTTCACATGGATGACACTATTCCAGGGTAGGAGAGGCTTGATACAGTAAGACTGGCCTTCCGTTCTGCTCAGTGGCTGCTTCAGACCCTGCCCAGGTTGATTTAATTATGGCCTTCTTTAAGGAGTTCCCACATATCTGGCCAGATGGCAAAACAATTCTTCCAAACAAATCAGGTGACTTTGATCTGAACTCTTTTTCTTTTTGCATTGGGGGCTTGGAAAGAGCAGTAGGTATAGGAGATTGTTTAAGATCCACTGAGAATCTGGTGAAAGTTAAGGAGCCACTTCTCAAGAAAGCAACTCTTACACACAGTGTTGCCATGCCAATTTCAGGATAGCTATGACCCTCCAGAGACCAAACCACAGATCCTGGTGAGAGATATCTAATAAGAAATAAGAAGTCACCCTTTCTTTCATTTTTACCACTAATCACATCTGTGTTAAAGTTGAATGACCTTGGCTTAACCTTGGAATCTGGTTTTCTAGAAGAACAAATTGTCTAGTGGTTTCATTACTTTGTCCTATGAACCCTCATCTTAATTACCAAATGCATGAACTTGAGAAAGTTGTTCACTCTGGTGACCTACTGCCACTGTCAAATGAAAGATACAGCAGGTGCCAGGCCTGGTGGTAAATGGCTATCATCCCAGCAACTTAGGAGGCTGAGGCAGAAGGATCTCAAATTTTAGGCCAGCCTCAGTAACTTAGTGAGGCCCTAAGAAACTTAGGGAGACCCTTTCTCAAAMTGAAAAAATAAAAATCGATGGGGTGGGCATTTTACATTTTAATGGAAAAATAAATATTTAAGATGGAAAAGTATGGTTAATAAATGTCACAGCAGCTGCCTTTAGATGAGACATTATTCCCATGCGGAAATTCAGGAAGGGATCTTAAAATTGGAGATTACATCACCTTGACAGCTTTTAGTTATGGAAGGAGATGGAATCTGGGTGGTGGTGATCAAAAACTAGATCTCTAATATGGACTTACTCTCCGCACTCACAAAATACAAGCTACTTAAAAAATTTTAGGCCAATCTCATTTCTCAAAATGAAAACATTAAAATGTAGCTCAGTGATAGAGCGCCCCTGGGTTAAATTCCCAATAACCCCCCCCCAAAAAATTGGGGTACATATTAACTTCTGGATGTAAGACTAGAAAGTTGTCTTGGGTTTAGCCAAATAGGAACATTCCAATGCCTCTTTATGGACATTGTTCTATGTGATACTGTAGAAAGGATTACATGTATTTCCCCCCAAGCTACTCAATGTTTTTTAATGAAAACAATAACTGAGGCTTTTCTCAGTTTTTTTCCAATATAATACAGAGAAAGAGATAGAGAAAGGGAGAGAGAGAGACCAACTACATGTTTTCATTAAAGGTCCATCCAATACTGCATTATAATCAATGGCTCTTATCCAAAGGATATGGTTTTTCATAGCCATATTATAAAGACCTACCATGATATTTCTCCTGAGTATAAAGGAATCAGAGATACTTAAATGACCAGCTTGTGGGAGCAAGGTCCCTTCTGAGCTTAAAAAGCCAAGCATCTGAGAATACACAGGAGGAAACCAGAAGAGATTGTACTTCCTCCGAGTGATTTGGAGCCATAGCWGTGACTTTGAGTAGACCGTCGATGGAAATCCCATGAAAATGGTCTTTCCTCCGTTCCTCATTTTACAGAATGGAGATRTTCATCTCCAAAGTAAAAATGATTTGTTAAAACCAGTTGACCAAGGATGACTGAAAACATCCTAAAATCAGGATAAGAATAGTTGAAAACCCCATTTTTTTAAGTAGCTTGTATTTTGTATTTTGTGAGTGCTGGAGAGGAATCCCATATTAGAGATCTAGTTTTTGATCCTGGATTCCACCACCCGGATTCTGTCTCCCTCCACTACTAGAAGCTGTCAAGGTGATGTAATCTCCAATTTTAAGATCCCTTCCTGAATTTCCGCATGGGGATAATGTCTCATCTAAAGGCAGCTGCTGTGACATTTGTTAACCATACTTTTCCATCTTAAATATTTATTTTTCCATTAAAATTTGTGAAGTACCAATAGAGAGGAAATTGTGTATTAAATAGTTTCTCACTTGGTCTAGTGTGTTTTCGTCTCGTTTCCAAGGTCAGATGGTCTTAACAGAAAGACAACATACACACAATCTGTTCCATGACAAGGCAAAATGTGCAGCGCAGGAAGTCAAGTGGAATGTTTTTCACGTCGTGATTGTGAATTTGCAGCAACTTAGCCTGTCGGAAGCAAAAGTGAACTCCGCAAACTTTCTACACCATTGGAAATTTGTAGTTCCTTTGATAGCTCCCGCCATGATGGAGGGCCCCAGGGTAGAATTCAGGGTTATAGTAAAGTGAATCCAAGAAGGCTAGCAGAGACAGCTGGAAAATGGGGAAATGGAACTGGTGTGGTGGTGCACGCCTGTCATCCCAGCAGCTCAGGAGGCTGAGGCAGGAGGATCAAAGGAGTTCAAAGCCAGCCTCAGCAACTTAGCAAGGTACTAAGCAACTCAGCGAGACCTGTCTCTAAATAAAATATAAAAAGGACTGGGGATGTGGCTCAGTGGTTAAGCATCCTAGATTCAATCCCCCCCCCCACCCGAACCCCATACCAAATAAACAAGGCCGGCGGGCAGAATGGGAAAGAGCCTTCTATCAGAATAGAACTGGACAATCAAATTACAAGGATTTGGTGACAAGAGAATCTGGTAGCAGTGATGGTAACTAGAAGATGCCTTTATGCTAGAACTGTGTATCTCCCCAGAAAGAGCAGACTGAAGGCAGAGTCCTGTTGCTTCAGAAAAGCAAACCAGCCAAACAAGTCTCATATATCATAAAAAATCTGGCAAAGGGGATTCATGCATTTTGTAATCGCTCCAAAAGGAATAGGAGCTGTTTTGATATTTATCCCTTTGCTACTTGATTAGCAAAGTAATTAATACCCTGGCCTACTATCTTCCCAAAGTAGATTTTACTTTAATTAAAATATAATTTGCATACAATAAAGTGTATAGATTTTAGATGAGTTTTGAGATGTGTGCCAACCCATGTAACCACCATGCTGACTAGGAGTGGTTGGACCTCAGTAATGACACTGCCACACAGCACTTGGAAGTTTCTAAACCAGATTCCCATATATGGCTTGGTGACTTGATTAGGTGAATCTGATTTCTACATTCATAGCAGTGATGATTCTAGTTCTGTAGCAGAGATAATAAAATAGACCCAGCAGTAATTGCCATGTTCAAGTTTCCACTGGAAGTAAGAGACAGAATACTCAGATCAGGACACTTCTCAAGCAGGAAAATGAAAGGAAGGAAAGAAGGTAGGTTCATTATAACAGGAGAAAAGTGAAGAGCATAATATCTGTAAAGAGCAAGTTTGGCATGGAAAAAAATCGAAGGTAGGAGGGGTTCCCATAATCACAGTGTCCCCAACCTGCCTCCATATGAAAGGACTTGAGGTCCCCCAGCTCCTGAACAGAAAGCATGATTCTCTTGGCTAAAAGAATGACATCATTAACTCCTCACATCAAGACCTGTAATCTTTCTCTTTGTATTTATCCCTTCAGCCAAGTTTCTCAAGAGAATATTTTGATTCTCAATGATGTTCTTTGCTTGGTTAGAAACCCCTCAGTTAGTATTTCATAATGTATCATTTTGCACACAGCTAGCTTCTCTGGCTTACTTTAAATCCCATAATTAATTTAATAAATGTGACTCATTTCTAGCAATGCAAAGAAAACCTAGCAGAGTGAAGYAGTCACATGGGGAAGGAAAGTCAAGATGTGATTCTGGATCTTATCTCAAAGACCTAAAAATGAATTTGGAGCCCCGTCAATATTCCTGAATTCTTTTGCTCCTGACATCTTTCTTTGTGTTTCTCGCACAGAATTCTGCAGATCAGTTTTCTGCAYTTAGCTTCAGGTTTATGCTACTGACAAGTAAATCCTTTCTTGAATCTAGCAATCGAGCCACCTCAGTTCTGATTCACCAGGACTGTGCAAACAGGGTTTGGGGTTTGGTTTTTCCTCTAATCAACTAAAACGAGGAGGAGGGTGATACATGATAAGATCCTCTCACCCCATCAGCTATTCAGTGACAAATGGAACAAATAATAACTTTTGAGCTGAAATTACGGTTGACAATATGTTTTCACATCTAGAACCTCACTAGGTCTTCAAAACAGACCTATGTGTTGAAGAACCTGAGTACCAGGAAAGGGTTTGGGCACTGTATTTTTTGAATAATAGGACAGACCGGCTAAGAATCTTTCTTCTTATATTTTATTTTATTCTTGATAGGTTGGCACATACTGTACATGTTTACGGGGCACATGGGGAATTTTGATAGGAATATACACCATGTAATGATCAAATCTGGGTATTTAACATAGCCCCTGCCTTAAATGTGTGTGTGTGTGTGTGTGTGTGTGTGTGTGTGTGTGTGTGTGTGATGGGAACATTCAAAATCTTCTCTTCTATTTTGAAATACAGATCTAAAAATCTAGGTACAGTGTCTCCTCATTCCCATTCCAAAAATCAGTAAGAAGAGGGACTCCCCCCTCATATTGGTCCTAGGTCATGGTATTATCTGTTTTGCTTTGTTTTTTACAGATAAGGAAACTGAGCTAGATTTTTGTAGGAAACGTGACTTCTCAACTTGGCACTGGGACTTTAATCCAGGTCTTCCAATGACAAAAAGACCTCACATATCTTTATTCATTCTCAGTGATTCTGACTGCCAGTTATTAGAATATCAAATCCCATTCCTATGGTTTATTATCTGTATGTTTTCATAGCTTCCTTTTTTTATTTTGGATGGTTTATTTAATTATTTTTATTTTTTTCATATGTCCTTCTTGTCCTAATTTTCATTTGCATTGTTCCTTTGTTTTTTTTTCTGTTCCTAATTAATCATCCTCTGAAAGTTTGCTAAAGAGTGGGTAAGTGCGTTTTCCTTTCCAAATAGCAGTGTTTTGCATTGTTTCTTTTCTGTGTGTGTTAAGGAAAGACAGAATAATTGAAATGGATAGTAAATTGATCTAATAAATGTCAAGGAGCTGGCATTTCATATTTTGCATTGAAATCGCTTTTCCTTTTTCCCTGGCATGTATGGCAGATTTTTTTTTGTTGTTTGTGTGGGGGTTTGTTTTCCCATTGCTATTTAAATGTAATTGACAGCCACAGTTAGAGAAACTGAAAAAATTCAGCCACTGTCTCAGAAGTTCTCAGTCTGGATCTGCCTAGGCTTGAATGGAGGAAATGGGTCACTTGCCAAAGAGTTCACTGTTACGTTGCCAGGACACAGATTCCACATCTGTAGATAAAAGTGGGCAGCTCCGTGGCATGAACCCAAATCACCTGAAGGTTTCAGAACAATTTTTGCAAAACCAGTGTGTTGGTCAAATTCCCTTTGGATGGATCCAGTTCTATAAGCCACAATCTCCCCTGACCCCAGCAGTTTCCCAAAGATAATTTTCATCTCTTTTATTAGATTATTGTGGCATCTGGCTTTGGAAAATACAGATCCACACACTGTCAGGCTGTTAAGCCACCCATGCACGTTATTGGTAAATCTGTGTGTGTGTCTACATATATCAGAGACATCTAAAACCCTGGGTGAAATATAATGAGCCTGGTCATCTTTTAAAGAGTTTCAGATCTCTCTCCATTAAAGACCTGGAGTGAGAATCTTATAGATGCTCCTGGAACTATGGAAGTAAACTGGGTTTGCAGGCCAGGCTTTATTTATAAATTGTGTGGTCTAAAATTACCAGTGGCCAGGCTCAGGGGGCACACAGCTGTAAGACCAGGGGCTCAGGAGGCTGAGGCAGGAGGATCAAGAGTTCAAAGCCAGCCTCAGCAATTTAGAGAGGCTTTAAGCAACTCTGAGACCCTATCTCTAAATAAAATACAAAAGAGGTCTGGGGATGTGGTTCAGTGGTTGAGTGCCTCTGGGTTTAATTCTCTATATGAATAAATAATTATTTTACATATATTATATTATTATATTACATATATTATATATACATATATACATATATACATATATATTACACATATATACACGTATATTATAATATATATATATTACAGTGGATGTCATGCCGTCCCAAACATGCTAATTTTTTTTTCTGTGTTCCTTAGCATCAATACCATTCAAAAATAGACGAACTAATCGAAGAAACGGTTAAAGAAATGATAACACTCTTGGTGGCAAAGGTAATCAGCCTCTGGTGAAATGCTTCCTTATAATCAGGCTTTGTTCATAGCTTCATTTCCATTAAAATGTAGCACATTAAATAAATTTAAAAAAAAAAAAAAGTTGAAGAACCGGAGACTTGTATCTGTCAGGAAACAAGATTGCACACCACCCAGCCGCAGCTCCAAATGATTTTCCGATGATTGCAAGCCGCGTGAAGATAAATTGATCAAGTGGCATATGTTAACTTAATAAGAATTTGTCCCCAAACGTTGCATGAGGTTATACGGGAAATGTTTGTTTTTTCAGCCCTGACAAAGTTAGATTTTTAAACACAGAAAGTTAAACGGTAATAAGGAATTCTGCCATCAYGAAAACCCCTTTTTCTCTAGTTTCACATTCAGTGAGAGTCATAATAAAACATAAAAGTCAGATAAAGCTATTTCAGTCACCCTCATGAATTATAGAATTTTAACTAAGTAATACTGAATGGGAAGACATTTATATTTGCCAGTGCTAAACTTCTGTTTCCCCCAAATTACTGATAAAAGACAAATAAAAATAGATTGGATTAAATGTAGTGCTAATATGTAACGTAAAAACGGCTTTGCGCAGTTTTGGATTTTGAAAAGTGCATTTAATATTATCGCACGCTATGCGCAACGCAATAATATTTTGTCACTTTGCACTTCTGTAACCCTCTATATTTGCAATCACATAATAATGAAGAGAAAGCCGGATAAGTCAAATATTTCTGTGTAGAGGCAGAGCCTCTTCTTTTCTCTGAAGGTGGGAATCAAGTCATAGAATTCCCAAATGAGCCGRGGACTCAGCCCCAGTCTCTATGTGGTAGAAAAATATTGTTCTTTGTCATGAACAATTATGGTTTAAAATAATGATTTTTTTTCTCTTCTGCTGTTTTTTTACTAGTTCGTTACTATCTTGGAAGGAGTCCTGGCAAAATTATCCAGATATGACGAAGGGACCTTGTTTTCTTCTTTTCTGTCATTTACCGTAAGTCAAGAGCTTCTTCCTTAGTTGGGATTGGAGTTTGCAGGTGGGGTGCGGCTGTGCTTCTTCTTTTGGGGGATGTCCATGTGTGTTAATTGAGATAAATTATTGATATGTAATATTAACATAAAGAGAATGATCAGGATGTTTCCTAATGGCAGGTAATCCAACATCATTGCTATTTCTTTTTCTTTTTTCTTTTTTTTTTTTTTATTTTGTTGTTGTTACCAGGGATTGTACCCGGGGGGCACTGAACCACTGAGCCACCTCCCCAGCCCTTTTTCATATTTTATTTAGAGATAGGTTCTCACTGAATTGCTTAAGGCCTCACTATATTGCTGAGACTGGCTTTGAATTCTCTACCCTCCTGCCTCAGCCTTCTGAGGTACTGGGATTACAGGTGTGTGCTACCACATCTGGCTCATTGTTGCTATTTCATTTGTGAGTGCACAATATGTGTATGAACACACAGACACACACATCCCTCTATACGTCGGCATCCAAAGAGCTGCCCGACAACACCTGCCTTAGCTATCTCTGGCAAATCACTTTGTGTGGGCCACAGTTTCCTTACCTGTAAATGAGGCAGATTCCCTTTAGAGATTGTACTTGGAAGAGCTGAAGGTCTCACAGAGCTGCAAATAGTTTTATGTGGTCCTTCCCATATCAGGAATGCTTTCCTTGACTGGATTCATTTGCATGTGAACACCAAGAGCCTTCATGAAGCAGTCTGCCTTTCAGGATAGACCTGCCTGGGCTCACAGCCACGAGCTGCCTGACAGAGCCTCAGTGGTCTCTGCAGACGGGATGTGTGTGTGCCGACTCTGGGTGGTTTCATGTATTCATACCTGCCCGGGACTGGGAACCATTTGCATTCACAACCTCGGGAGCAGATGACTAGGGCCTTTATAATGTCGAGAGGTACCAATTCTGTGCCAGAATTGGGCTTAGGCAAATTTGAATAGAAAAGGCAACGTATGTCCTGTAGACAGGAGATCACTGGAGCAGGCCACTGGAAAGGCTGCTTCAGGGACCCAGTTCTCCACTCTTCCTGCTATCGGGCAGATAGTGCAGCTGCTTGTACCCCTCTCATTTTTGATAGCAGGATTTGGCTTGCTCTGAGATATTATAAGACAGACAATCAACTTAGAACCCCCTGTCTGTGGGTCTTTAATTCAGTCTGATTGTCAGAAGGATCTCCCAGATGGGTATTGAATGCAAGAAAAAGCCCATTACAAGGTAGTAGACAGCATACCACCATCTTTGGAAACTAACACCAATTCCATTACCAATATTAACCAGCTGTGTGATCTTGAGCAAGTGTCTCACTCTCTCTGAGCCTGTCATCTGTAAGGGAGTAAGGGGAGGATAGGATCTATAGTCCCGGCTTATAATAGAGCTTATTAAATAGCAGCTATTATTAACAGCAGGTAACTAATATKGTTATTATAATATGCATATAACCTCCAAATATACCCTATTTTGCTCTTTCACCAGCCCATACTTTAATCTTCCAGAAATTAAAAAAAATGTTGGCAGAAAACAATTAAAAGTTTCTAGACAGCATCCAGTGCCAAACTTATCTTGATGTGCAACCCTGACCTTCTTAGACATAAGGACTGGGATTCAGTCCAGGAGTGTGAGGACCCGATCCCTGGAGTTTATTGGTGAAGATGGGGTAGGACAGAGAGAGTGACAATAGAAATTCCATCCAATTTCTTTTTTTTTTAATTTTTCAATATTTATTTTTTAGTTTTTCGGCGGACACAACATCTTTGTTGGTATGTGGTACTGAGGATCGAACCCAAGCCACACGCATGCCAGGCGAGCGCGCTACCGCTTGAGCCATATCCCCAGCCCTCCATCCAATTTCATTCTGCAGAACCAACTTTAATGTGTCACAGCTAAAAGGAAACCTAGCCATCACACTCCTTTGACAAAGAAATGAAGGCCCTGAGAGGGGGAGTAATTTTTCTGAGGTCACACAGCAGTGGGCACAATGGGGACAGGAGCCCATGTCTCCTGCCAGCTTTCCCCCCTCCAGTGAACAGCTTCCTGGAGAGAGTGGGATTCAGCTGTCAATTGCCTGGCACTAGGAGGCAGATGGGCAAGAGTGGGGAAGATTCATAAAGAAGGATTCAGGGCACACGAGTGGGAAATATTAGACAATGTTTCATTTCTCGATGAAATCGTAGAAATGGAGAAAAGGGATCCAATAAATGCAACATTTGTGGAAAATGTCACCTTGATCCCTACCAGAGACATGGCTTTTTCTTGAATCTTCCTTTTAGGCAAATGTATTTACTGCCCTAAAATTGAACCCAGTGAAACCTGGAAAACTCCTCTGGTCTTTATGGTCCCCTCTGTCAATCCGCCAAGGCCCCATCCTCATTTCAGACTTAGCAAGAGGACAGCTGGAAGGTGGTCCAGCAGCAGGGGGACGCAGGACAGTCTCCCAGGAGGTTTAGAGACAAAGACCCGGAGTGGCCTCTGCCGGAGTTCTCGGTCTCAAAGTCCCATCCCCTCCTCTCCCTTTCTCTGAGTCATTTTGCAGTCTCGCAGCCTGCCTAGCGAAGGCTCGGTAATGCCGAACACTTGGGTGCCTATTGCTGGGCCTGTAACTTCCCTTCTTAGTGACACTTCTCCCACACACTTGGCCACCTCGGGGCCAAAAGCACCCACTTCTCATTTGCAGCCTATGTTCTCATCTCCTGCCAGGATTCCAGTATTAGAGAAGGCGAGCTGTGCTCAGAGGTGGCACATGGATTCTGAGCTCCTGCCCAAATTTCAGGGGGCCTTTCAAGGTTGCCTACAGCCCAGTTGGGTTGACTTCCCAGGAGCGGAGTGGAGGTCCGCAGGACCGGGGCAGGAGGAGCAGGTATCACAGAAAGAATCTGAAACCCACGCAAGAACCAGCGAGGGGTCCTAGGACCCTGGACCAGCGCCGCAGAGACCCTGCGCACCTGCCCACCCACAGTGGGCATGATGCCCTTAATCTCGCTCCCATCTCTGATGCCATTCTTCAAGGATTACTGTGCACTTACCACGTCCCCACCTCAGCAGGCCTGCCAAGTATGAGCCATGTGCTCTGCCCCCCAGAAAGCTGACGCGCATCGACAAATATGCCACCCTTTCCCCCTCTTTCTCCTGCTGAGCGCCTCCTTTCCTGGGCGGGCTTGATTTCATGGTCCAAGCCAGACATTTTGGAAAACGTCTGCAGTGGCACCGAGCAGGCAGGAATATTTATTTCTCGTCTCCATCTGCATTGCTTCCTCTCTTGGAGAGGAGTTGGGGGAGGAGGGAGGATGAGATGTGGCTTCCTCGTGCCAGCCCGAGAAGCGCCCAAGCGCACCCTCCTCTCCTCCCTCCGCAGTCTCGGCAGTGGTAGCAGTCTGGGATTTAWGGAGGCAGGCGCCTCTCGAACTTTTCAAAGATCAGCCCAGTTGGAAGATGCGATTAGCAAGTATCCGCCCATTTCCGTTGAGTGCAAGATGTGCTTTTGTGTGGGAAGCTCGTTTGGAAAGGTCTGAGTCTTGTGGATAGCCTCGCGCTGTTCTTTTAGGAAGCCAAGAAGCGGGGCGAGCAGGTGCGCAGGTAGCTCTTCCAGAAAGTTCAAACGCTTTCCTCCGTCCTGGCCCAGGCATGAACCAATCAACCAGTTCTGGGATTCACTCACTCACTCACTCACTCATTCATTCATTCATTCAATCAATCAATCATTCACCAGAACACCTTTGTGTCAGGTACCGTGCTAGGCCCTGGGCACAGAGCAATGGGCAGAAAAGATGTTCTCAGTCCTATTAGAGCTTGAATTTAGTAAAGGAGACAGGCAAAAGACAAGAAAAGGATCAAATGGAGGGAAGCATGGGCGAAGGATCTAAGCTGGAGGGCAAGAGAGAGTGGGGAGGGACATGACTTGGTTTAGGAGAATCGTCCAGTATCCCTCCTTTGAGGAGTCCTGAGCTTTAGGAGCCAACCATGGATAAAGAGAAAGGGAGAGGTGGGGTGGCGTGGCACATGCCTGTAATTCCAGCAGCTCTGGAGGCTGAGGCAGGAGGATCACAATTCAAATCCAGCCTTAGCAAAAGTGAGATGCTAAGCAACTAAGTGAGACCCTGTCTCTAAATAAAATACAAAATAATGCTGAGATGTTTGTCCAGTGGTCAGTGCCCACGAGTTCAATCCCTGGTGTGCCAAAAAAGAGAGAGAGAAAGGGAGAATCTTCTAGAAAGAGCAGCAGCTGTGGCCTCCAGGAGGCAGGCAGGCAGGGAGCATTTTCACAGGATATTTTGCAGGTCACATAGGGTGTTGGGGGTGGAGACCCCAGCAGAGAGGGCAAAGGTGAAAGACCCGAAAGCTATGATTTATTRAACAGTTCCGGGGAGTCAAATGAAGACCTAGAGTAAGTCAAGATAGACAGCCTGAAATAGGGAGACCCAGAAGGGAACCCAGCCCTGCCCCTTATCATGGAGCTGGGTGACCTGGAAGAAAGGACATCTCCTTGGCTTATGATTTCCTTCATGGATAGACGCTGACAGATTAGATGAGTTGGGAAGTCTAAAATAACTACAAGAGTACAGCTCCCATTGCTTAAGTACTTGCTAGGAGCCTGGCACACAGCTAAGTGCTTTAAATGTACATCTTCTGTGGAATCCTCAGAACAATTCCATTCCAACAGTGCTCCTTGGCAAAGAGGAAGCTGAGGCTCAGAGAGGCTAAGCCCCCCAGCTCCTTCCACTCAGCTGCGGAACTTCCTCCACAGAGGGATGAAGATGGAACAGCTGTGTTAGCTGTTCACAGCCCTTAGAAGTGAGCTAGGATCTCCCATCAAGCAAATCCATTCCAGGTGGTCACAAACATCACACAAAAGACACTCAGGACCTGGAGGATGATGCCATTTTAGGACTGTCAGGAGACCAAAACCTACGTTATAGCCAATCTTTTTTTTTTGGGGGGGGGGGAGAGGTACCAGGGATTGAATCCAGGGGCATTCGACTACTGAG